GATTTAAAATTTTGCAGATAGCTTTTTAATAGTAATAGGAATCTATAATAACAAATTCAACATGCTAGCATTGTTTAAGTATATAGCCTATACATCTTTAATCACGTGTTCTATAAAAATGTGCAAGTCGTTGAATGCAACTTATTTATTTTAACATAGGACGGTTATCCAATATTAGAAGAATTTAGAAAACTTAGCACCGAGGTTTACAAGAATGATGTGATTAATGTAGACTTTGCGAAAAACGGGCAAGCAGCGCAGAATATCATAAACTCATGGGTGAGTCAGAAGACGAAGGGAAAAATTATGAGTATTTTGAATAGTGTACCCAGTCCAGACACGATGCTGATTCTCTTATCGGCACTTTATTTCAATGGGGAGTGGAACCAACACTTTTTGGAGAATAGTACGAAACGGTAGATGCATTGTCCTCTTCTCACTTAGTTACATGGAAATGTATTAGTATTTAATTAACTGCATTTGCTCCATTAGGAAACCATTCTTCATTGAACCAAACAATCCAATTCAAGTCGATATGATGTACAACGGGGGTCCGTTCCCCTTTTACGAAGACAAACAATTGGGGGTGAAGATCCTTGGACTTCCGTACAAGGGCAAGGAAGTAAGTAATCAATTGCATAATTTATCATGATGAAACTAATCAAACAGTTCTTTATTGAATTTTACTGTGATTTTGTAGATGACCATGTATATCCTCTTTCCAAAAGCTGAGGGTGCATCAGCTCTACGAAACTTTTTGAACGGATTGTCGGTAAAAGTAATCGAAAATTTGATTAACAACATGAAGAACGAAACTTGTATCATCGGATTACCGCGGATGAAGCTGAGTAGTAGTCTGAGTTTAAGATCCACGCTCGCTAATCTAGGCATGAGTTCTCTGTTCGACCCAAAATCAGCAGATTTGAGCTTAATATCCCAACCAAGTAGCGTATATACAGCAATCAGGAATAATGTACCAGCGACTCCGACGATGGGTGCTCCGGTAGAGTCGACGGCTGATCGAGGAAAGAGCATGTACACGGTTCCACCAATCCCGCAGGACACAAAAAATGTGTTGATCTTCAATCGGTTTGGTTCGGAGCAGAATAAAAGAGATCGCGTGGTGAAGAGAAATTATTTTACATACGAAGACCCAACCGGTTACACAGTGGAACAATGGTCAAACGGATTTACCATTAGAAACAAACGTGTAGCTCGTGATACCAAAAATAAAGAGAACAGGAACTCGTACGTAACGGACGAAAGGCCCGAAGCGAACGACAAAACGACGTTCGTGAATCTCGAAGAAAATAAGTACCGTTTCCAAGACGAGAAAGATAAGAAGAGGAGTAGAAGGCAGAGCAGGCCGATCGATGAGGACTTCTTGAACTTCGTGAAGCAAAAAAATTTCCCGTCCTACGGGCTGGACAATCTGAGGAATACCGCTAATCTGGTAAATCCGCATCTCTTCGCCTCGGATGTTCTCCACAAAGTGGAAATTGACATCACGGAGAAAGGCACAGAGGCTGCAGCCGTGACTGGCGTGGTGCTGGAACGTGATGGAAGTCAGAAGAGGCTTATAGCGAACAGACCGTTCGTCTTTTTCATCAGACACGATCCGACGAAACTCGTGCTCTTCTGGGGCACGGTAAATACTCCGACTCCGAAGTATCCGGCCACGTAATACAGAACCGGATTCGTGCAACAAAATCCATAGAGATTTGAAGATGAGTGTCGGAGAAAGCGGAGAGTTAACTTCTTTATTTTCAGTTAATGTCGTTTGCTAAAGCTTGTCCACGTAGTAACGGCCTTGCTCGCGAATACTTCTTCCTACGGTTGCGACTGGTCGTGCGGCTGATTACCATTTTTGAATGAGTAAACACGTTTTGCGCAAATGAAAACAGCTTCACTGAAGGACATGCTTCTCGTATTGCTTCTGAAGAGCAGTTGACAAGAGTGTTTACGCACGATTGACTTATACCGGTTTCATTGCACTCTTCTGATTTTGCAGGCTTTAATTAAAGATAATTATTCAAACAATCCTCCTGTAACATTTTTTAGATATTTATCTGTACTTTCCTGATCGAGCAGTATTTCCTCGTAACTTAACGCTCCCATCTGATATCTATTAAATGCAGTTCCGCTGCGGTGAATTGCATTTTAGTAGTATAGACTTAAGTTATTGAACAATTTTATGTAATCGTAATATGAATAAACTGTTTTTTTAATTACACATTTTTTCAATCGTCTATATCGTATTTTAAAGAGGATGCTGTCAAGAAATATGAAAATATATTTTTCCAAAATACATGTTTAAATTTCTTTTTATTCTGGACATTTTATAACACAGCATTAAAATTAAACATAAATCATTTGAAAATTTCGTTACGGACGGCTGTATAATAATTTTCAGGTAACGAAACTTTTTACTATTTACGATACGATTACAACCGTTCTTAAATAATTTTTCTGTCACGTAAATATTTTTATATATTAATACAAATCAATAATAATCTTTCTTTCACTTTAAAGTTATACAAATTATAATATATCCGATATTTATCATTTGATGATAAAATATTTGTTCCGCGATAGTCAACTAACAGAAAATATAGATTCGTAGCGAACATCACATTTTACATGGAGAAGCATTACATTCCTAGAATGATCGTTCTCATAAACAATACCTATTTAAATCATAATGCCACATTCAAACAGATGGCATTAAATGGTACAAGGAATATTTTACTTAGTAATACGAAATGAGGATAAATACGTGAGCTCACGAATACTATAATGAAACGAAGGTACGTTTAACGTCAATGAAAACTTTCTTTCTCGCACCTGGAGCAAAAATATCTTTTACCTACCAATTTTTATTTGGTCTTAATCACTTTGTATTGCTTCAGTTGCACAACAGTTCCATATTTACTTTTAAATACAAAAAAAACTTCGGGATTATTCGACGTTTGTCCTCTCGTAAAAAAATTCTTTATCCCAGCCATGTAGAAAACTAATCCTCTAAGTGTATGTACATTTTTTTACGTGTAACACAAAGAATGGTTCGAGAACAAAAATACTATCCTCGCTATTTTGTAGACAGCCTTCCTAACAATTTTAGAATACTTATACTGATATAGTTACATCTAATTCTCAAATAATTAAATCTCTTCTTATCCTCAGAAATTTGTTTTTAACAATAATTAATACTTTTTACACGCAAATCTTTATTCGTTTTACTGCACATTCGTCTGCTGACCTATCAACGGAAATATCTGTGTTATTTTACCGATTCCCTTAGTCCGGCCTTCTCTCAACAATAAGCGCATGCCGACATGCAGATATTCCGGATGATTAACGAATCTGAACAAGACCGACGCCGTGTCATTAGTTTGTAAACCTCTATCTTTCGCATCCATTATCCCTTTAATAATGCACGTCTGCCTTACGTTACCTACGTGCACGGTCGTTTGAAAACCAGAATATATTGCTGTCGCGTGATATACTATTAACACAGTCGCCTATAAGAAATTCAGAACACATTGTAATTAACAATTTATTCAAGCGTTTACGTATGCATGACACGTAACATTCATATGATGTACGTACTTGGAAAAAAAGTGTCGCATGCGGTTGGTCCCACACAGACACTAACACCATGCCAGGTCGTAAATGAGGTAAAGGAGGACTTCGATTCGTTGGCGGAGCCAAAGTTAGACTAGCACTCTGGGAAGCTCTCACTAGACAGCACGGAGCCTTGTTTCGATGGAGGCTGACAACCTTGACGGGACTGAACTCGCCGTCTGGTAAAGGGCCCACGAGCAAACGAGTTCCAGGAGCGATTGCTCCTTTCACTAGCAATCCTCCCAAAACAGGTTCGTTTAAACCTGCCACCCTGTAAGAACGAAACATTTCAAATTTATAATGTACTCGATTATTACAAACAATTTAAGAAATATATACCTGAAGGTTTCATCAATTTGAAATAGGCAAGATTCGGTATCTGCATCTGTAGAATTCACATCGTGTGGTGATAAATTCTTAATGAAATTCGTCAAATCCTCCAATCCCTCTCCGGTAACGCAACTCACGTTGAAAACTGGTATTATGTCTGACTCGTAATCCCATGATAATCCATCATTGTACATCACTAGTTGTTTAGAATATCCCTGCGCGTTAATCGCTTTTTCCAACTGATTTATCGTGTCGGGCGTATTATAAAAACCGAGATCGATTTTGTTCACAACTATAAAAAATGGAAGTCCTAGAGTTAAACACAGCGCCATATGTTCCTGTGATGCGTCGTTCATAGGCGGTGTTACGACCAACATCACATGGTGAGGTGAATACCCTGAAAGATAGTTATAAATCTCGTTAATCGGTCTGATAAATTATTTAACTATGAGATAAGAGGAGATTACATACCTGTGAGACCCAGTACCGTAGTCCTCAAGTATTTCCGATGTCCAGCCAAATCTATGAATGTAACGACTTTGGACGCGTGCTCGCATATCTCTTCAGCAGTTGCCATTTCCGCGTAATTCAGCACGTGTCCCTCGCCATCGAAACCTATGATTTCGTGCGATATAGATGACGTACGACCAGTCTTGATTTCGTGAAGGTGTCGCAACATATTCAATCTTGCCCTCCCTCTGCCATTATCTAGTTCACCCTGGGTTAATACGCCTGTGTACATTTTGAATGCTCATTAAAATTTAAATTCCAATTAATATTTAATGGACAGGACGAGCAATGCATTTGGCAGAGTATACTCTAAATATATTTCTCTACCTTAAATGTCCTCTGCTAATCCTCTCACCTAAGAGAGTAGACTTTCCCGCATCCTGCGCACCGGTGACTGCAAGTCTCAGGTCGACAATATCCTGATCCTCCCTGTCTCCTTTCCTCAACTTTTTCACCAAAACTTCTGCCACCCGCCTCTCCTCTTTTCTGTGTTCGGACATATCTTTATTTTTAGAGTTAGCAATTCTTTCACGCAGTATACTTGTTGTAGCGCCTAATCTTGCTGCCATATCGTTCAGAGTTTTCAGCGATGCTTTCATATCTTCCCTAGTCAAGCCTGTTAATTTCCCGTTATCTTCCACACCTAATAATTCAAAATAGAGATAAGTGATGCATATTGGACATATCTAAGGAAACGATTATATTATGTAGTCGCGTACCAATTTGGTAAATAGCCTCCCCATGGCCTTCTCTTAAACGCCATTTCATTTGTGTTACAAGGTGTTCGAACCGTTGACTAGATGGATTTATTAACTTCAGTTTGTACTCAATATTGCCTTGCTCCGGTTCTGGTGGCAGCCTCTCTTCTTGTTCGTCATCAACACTTGAATTCTCACAATCAGACATTCCATTTCCTTCATTCTGTGAGTCATTCCAAGCATTCTTTCGTATTTCCTTCCCATTATCTGGATCAAACAATTCAAGGAATGACTCCATATCTGTAAATCGCAAACAAAACAATTGTTTCAAAATAATCTTTCATTTTTTTAAATGCTGTGTGTATATTCTGAGCCTTTCAAACGTTTTAATTTATTGTTTATAAGCAGGCTTAGACTATAATTAATCATAAAATCTTACTTATTGAGGTCATCAGTCTCAAATAAAATCTAGTTCAATACCAATTCATAAATCACAAGTTGCATCATGATATTGCAACAGAATTAAATATCTTGGATCATGTATATAGATTACAATCTAAGAATCATATTTGATGTAGATGTTTAAACAATGCTACTGATTAAAAGTTCTTTAACAGAATAGATTGTATTTCAATGAAGAAATTGTTTATTTTACTTAAAAAGAATTTAACAATAGAGATACTAGTTTCGTGAACAAATATTTAAAGTTTATAAAACTTTCTCATTTAAAAAATTTTTTAATACTACGATCTCTCAGCATAATAAACAACAAAACAGAAAACAGCAAAGTACACATGGGCACCCACAATTCGTTTGTACGTACAACCACAACATAGCGCAATATTGCGTCAGAGATTTCCCGAATATTTTTGCAACTGGCATAAAAACTGTTTTAAATATTTATTTACCTACGTAACATTCATTTATCTTGTGAAGTAAAAATAACGCTTACGCAAAACAAAACGTTCATTCATGTTAGCGAAGTGCACTTATTTACAAACAACTGCACGGGGTATATTTAACAGTTTAAGATACAATAAATTCATTTGTTAATTAACTTAATCCATATTGTAAGTGTAATATTTTCAAGGCTCAAGTTGAAATATATATGGAAGGACTTGTAAAATATTCGTAGCGCGCCAAATCGTTGTATGTATTGTAGCGCTTCATACGTACACATGTATCAAACTACGTGGGATAGAAAACAAAAGTGTGTGCAAACAAAGCGTTCAGAGGTTCGTGAGTGTAAGTAATCGTGGATCCCTGAATTACTGAACGCGTCTGCCAGGTCGATAATTACGAGATTAAAAAAAGATCTTGCACACGGATGTTGCAAAATTGAAACTGACAGGTGCATGACAAAAACAGAAGTGCGTAGTTGCGTTAAACATGCATTTGCAATGATTCAACATAAAACATCTTGAGACTCACCGCATTTTACGAACAGTAGTTTTCTCTCCGTAGACGTAAGCTGCCGAAAACGAAATTACGATTGACACACACACCACGAAATTGAATAACACGCGAACCTCTCACTTTCCCTCCCGCTTTTTTCGACACTCAACCGTGCACGATCGAATCGTGATCTGTCTGTTACCAGCTTTGCCAATCCATTCTTCCCTTCCTGCAGTTGAAACAGATTTAGTTCCAACCGACAACCGTGTTGTTTCACGCAGATGACGCTGCATGCGCCTGGGATCGAAATGACGTAATCTCTAGTTGCTAACTTTACTTCATTGATATTCGCGGAAAATTTGAAATTTAAGATATTTATCCAAATGGGACGCTAAGGCGACAACTCTTGTTGGATTATTTGAGTCCCATGAGCGAGTTTCATTATTACGTAATAGGATACGTTGATATTAGTGAAAAAAGATGTAAAAATAAATCGTATTACGTAATTGGATCGTTCGTCCCCCTGGTAGCTCCATCTTCAGAACAAAACATTCATTAGTTCCTTAGAAACGCAGGATAACAGTACAACAATCGTTCCGATCAGGGAATCCGTTTAAACAAAAACGAGTCATTCTTAATACACCGTTGAAACATCGTACCGCTGTTTGTAACCGTATCGTTAACGATTGTTAAACCTAACCTCTTAAACGCTGTAATTCTGCAGGATTGGTCATGATATACATACTCGCTCGCGGAATTGTGTACTCGCGCATGATCAGACAGAATACAAATCTCTCCGTTTGGCAGAAAAATTCCTCCGCTGTGTGTATGCCTTAAAATTAAAGATACTGTTATCTGTGAGAGCGTGTCGTGGACATAAACAAACTGTTTCACACGGTATTTTTAACGTTTTCGTGTTATTCTCGTTTTGTCCGTCTATCCGTATCGACTCGCGCCGCAGTTTAGCATGACCGCCGTCGTCGCGATTTGTTTTCATGCGACCAGACGGTCCGCTGTGCCCGTAATTATGCGTCGTCGTCTGCACGTATTTATAACCGTATTTACTTAACGTGGCCAAATAGCAACCCGTTTGTCGCTGTGCTGTTTTCTCGTTGGATGTATGTACGTACGTACTCGGTGAACGACAGTGAGATGCGAGCTATAGATCGCGAATGCATCGTGCCGCGAGATCAACTTTTATTTACATGCAGACTAAGTTTGACGAGCATATAAACATGGCCGTCGCGCTTCTTTGTGATGATTACTTGTGCCAGTTTCGATTCGACCGAGTCCTGCGAGAATGGAAGTAATGGATGGAACGCATGCATCCGTGATATCCAGGTAAAACGAGACACTTGCGTACATTCCCGACGCACCCCGCTATTCCGGGTTTCGCTTGTCGTTCATCTACCCTATCTCCCGTGTTTTATCGTGCACCACGTATACCTGCACGTTCGTTTTATTAGATGTACGTTCTTTCGTTTCTCATTTTCAATTCTTGCCTTTCTCGTATTTTTTTCTCCCCCCCGCGTAATCGCGAAGGTGACTGAACTTGCTCGGTGTACGTCATACACGCATTGTTAACCACGTAACGCGATCGCAATCATAGCTCAGCTGACTACTATTGACCTATTGATGTGTTGCTGTCGGTAGATGTTTTTTGGGCTGTTTTTCTGACGGAGTTAAATCGCTGAACACCCACGTCTTCCCGTTCTTTTACGCAGTGTTTTTCTTATACCTTTTTCGCAAATTCAGTGGTGTTCCTCAGTGTAGTTCGTGTTATACTTGTTTGGAATAATGTGTTAGTGGAATTTAATTTGAGTGTGTCCCAATTACGCATAAACGTTTTATTTCGCAGTGCGAGCACACGTCGATTTAACGTGTACTTGCAATTTCGTGATCATTCGTTAAGTTGTGATTGTTTTTCAATATATATTTTTTACGGACTCGTCACGATTTTAATTGAAAAATGTACATCCGAATGTTGAAGTTTATGTCATACTTCATCAGCATAAACACATTCACTTATAAATCACTTTCGGTTGTGTATTTTATGTTCCTTTTGAATTACCTTGATTCAGACATGTAATGAGATATCTTGACCTATTTTTGTATTTGTAAATGAACACACTTGCACTCCAGATACGTGTATGAGTATGCTTATATTGAATGTATGCATATATCGGAATTATATGACAGTAAATAAAAATGATACTGGATTAAAAAGGTAATAAATATTGTAAAATATGACTGCAATAATGAAGAATATTCTAGTATTAATTTCCCATATAAATTATCCACCAAAAGAAGCTTCATATTGATAAACGTCTTAAATATGATAAACTTTCACAATATTTTAACAAGAAAATTTCCAATGTTTATTCTTCTGAGTGATTTCAAAGTTCCTTCTGTTCAACGCTACTTTTTACATGTAACATGTTAATATTAAAGGTCATATGCATATTTATAAATGGGAAAGTTCCTTATTCTGAAGTTCGATGCACATTCAATTATTTCCGTTTATAAGTTTTAGAAGTGCAAAGTTGAATGAAAGCGTCATGTTTTTGTGATATTTGCGTAATAAATCCAATTTACATGCAGTCCAGTTTCAGGAAATGCAATTGCAGCTCATTCTGCTTCGTGTTTAATGTAAATATTTATTTCGTTATTTTGCAGGCCCTTTTTTCGCTTTTCATTAAAGCCAGTAGCGAAAAAGTATGTGTAGCATAATTGATAGTTGCAGTTAAATATTTGCAAATTTATTTAGTCAAGTACATACCTTTATGCAATTATCACATTAAACTTACACAGTTAGAAGAATTAATTTCATTGCAAACTCAAATATGTGGGATCAGATAAAGATTGCGGCTGCACTACTGCACTTGTGACATTAAATGACAGAAACTCTGTTCGAGATAGGTCACACATATAAATCAGTGTTATCAGTTATCGCTTTTCTGTTACCAACTTGTTCCAGTATGTGTAATCATTCCATTGCGTATGCTTGTATGCGGTCACATTTAAATAGAAATTAGTGCTTACATTCAAAGCTTTTGTGTAGATCAGGCAATTGAAGAGATTTTAAAGAGATCTTAACTCCCAGTGCAGCTTGATAAGATAATTTGATATGAACACGCTGTATCGTCACTCGATCATCTGATGACGTTCAAAAATCTGTTCCTTTCAAGCCTCAATAATTTCGTCGGAAATGGGTGAGAAAGGTTTCGAGCATTGAGCGTATTCCATTTAAAAGGCGCTTCCGAATTCAATGCAGTGCACTTTCTAGGTAAATATCGTATACTGGCTAACAGAGTGAAAGTTTAAGATGCGATCGGCAACTTTCATTATTTTTACGTAAATCGGTACGTCGCATTCTTTTTTTCTGATCGAAAATCGGAGCAACATAGATAATAATTAGATGTATACACGCGCGCGATGAGCGCGAAATAATACAATAATTAATTTTTTTAAAGCAGTCATTTTTTTAATAGAGCGTAAAATTAATTGTTATTATTGAAACTGAGAATCGTATTTCGTAATGCATTTTGTCATTAATACTCCATAATATGGATTTTTAAATGCATTCATTTGCGCTATGCAAACCATATTATGGATAGTGGTGACTATGTATGAAAGAGCTTGTCTGCTGATACAATCGCCAATTGATAATGGTTTTCTTCTCGACTTACTAGATTATGTGAGTATTGTCGAATACGGACGAAATTCGAATAAAATATATTCTATTTAAAAACGGATGATCATTCTACGGATCATATATAAAAAAATTAGGTTCGCTATAATTCGCAATATGTCTACGTAATTAAATAGTAAAAAGAGAAAGAATTGTTTAAACATTGTCAATTGCAACATTCAGAGTTTCGAGCATCGTAATTGGGCTCTAGATTAAACACGACAGATAGAGAAGGCGCGTTTATCGTATAAAGGGGTGCACAATGGTTTCAGGCTGTTGTCTGGGTGAGCAATGAATGTATTCCGAATTTTGACACCGTGTGTATTGCAACGTAGACGACCAAAGGAGGTTGATAATTCTGATAAAAGGGATTGCTGGTTTGTGAAAAGACGGCGTGGAGATGCTTCCTACATGATACATAGAATGGGTGCTTCTGCATCGTCGAGCATCACCAGTGTAGGTGGAGACTCGGTCCAAGCAGCTAGACTTTCATCCTCCGGTAATCCTCCTGATCAACATGGCATTGCTATCAGGTATTTAAATATTTACCAACGGGACACCGTTATCTCGATCGCCCATCGCTTTTTATCGCCTAGATCTGCACGCGATAGGGAGATTTCATTTCAACGGTGTACACCTGGGGGTATAATACATCAACCAGAACTTTAATGGGCGTCTTTTGCTCTACACGAGATCCATGGCCGTCGATAAAATCGAACGTGTCGTCTATTTCCAGGGAAAAAAAGAAGAAAATGACGGGGTTTGCAACGCTGCGCAAGAAGTTCATTCGAAGACGCCGGTCTTCGAAGGCCTGCGACCACGGCAGGATAATCCGAGATTTGGTCTCGACATGGAGCCACTTAGAAGCAACGGCGCTTTTGGAGGAGTACGAGGCGCTCGCTGCATTAAAGGATCTTCATGTCCAAGCCGAATTAGCCAGACCACCGGCTGCCACGTACAAACAGGATTTGTCGATGTTGTACGACTATAAACATTGCTCCGATGTGGATCTCGTCTACCGTGGAGCGTGCTTTCCCGTTCACAGAGCACTGTTGTCGGCGCGTTGCCCGTACTTTAGAGATTTACTGGCTGGATGTCCCGGTAATATAAACATCTCTATATTTTTAACTCTCAAGCATGATTTGCACGTTTCTGCGTTCACGTATTATGAAAAATCTCGTTTAATATCACGTGAAATGTTTTACTGTTGCAGGGTACGGTGCTAGGATATGCTTGGAGCTGAGAACACCAAATCTCGAAGTGCAAATGTTCTCCGCGTTGCTTCGGTATCTCTACACTGGTGATATTTGTCCACACGATGCGGCATTGGAGGCGAATCTCTTGCGACGATTGAGTGAAGAGTTTGGCACACCGAATCCCCTGGAACACGATCTCAGATACCTGTTGGACACCGGTGATTACGCGGACGCGGCGTTAGTGTTCACGTCGGACAGTGATTACCAGAGACCAGATAGTGGAAGTTCAGAATACGGATTCCGGCCAAAGTTAGAACTGCCATGTCATAAAGCGATACTTTCTGCGAGATCCCCGTTCTTCAGGAACTTAATACAAAGACGGACTAGATCCGGGGAAGATCACACAGAAAGGGCGCTTCATATACCTACTAGAATAGTTTTGGATGAGAGTGTAATACCCAAACGATACGCCAGAGTATTATTACATGCAGTGTATTTAGATACCGTTGATTTATCGTTAATTATGAGAGGTAATGGTTGCGGGAACAGCGCTGGTAGCCTTGGAGAGGTAATTATATCATTTCCCATGCTCTTAATTCATTCTTCAAACCGGTTAAAACTTTGATACAGTATGTTTTTCTATATAATATTACAATTCATACATTATATTTTGTACGCGTTTATTCTTAGGTTCAAGCTCTCACCCACACTGGACGTGTTCGACCAAGTCCCTTAGAAGAAGCAATGGAATTGTACCAAATTGGTCGATTTTTGGAATTAGATATATTGTCACAGGGTTGTGAAGATCTTATTTTAGAATATCTTACGCTGGAATCGCTTCCGACCGTTTTAAAGTGAATTTCTTTTTTTTTCATAGTACCTTAACTGAATCTTATGAAACTTATATTCTTATCAGTGTCCGATTATGTTTATTGTACAGGTGGGGTAGTCAACCACACGGATCTGCATGGGTACATAGGCAAGCGTTGCATTATTTAAGAGAAGAATTCCAGCCAATAGCCTCCTCCTCTATTCTCCATCAACTGGATCACGCACATTTGGCAAATGTTTTGCAAAGTCACTTCTTGCAAGCAAGCGAACTTGAAATACTGCAGGCAGTACTCAAGTGGGGCGAACAAGAATTGGTACGCCGTATGGAAGACCGGGAACCAAATTTACTCAGTCATACGGTGCATTCTGTGACGAGGAAGGGTTTGAAGAAACGAGATCTAAGCGACATTGAGCTCCGAGAGATACTCAGCGAACTTCTGCCGCTCGTCAGAATGGATCATATTTTACCTCCTAACAGCGAAGCGTTGGCGCAAGTACGAGAAATTGATTTATTCGTTACTTCTTACGTTTATTCTGATGTTGAATGATAATCACAGCGTTATGTATTTAGGCTATTAGAAGAGGATTAGTTTCAACTCCACCAAGTCATATGATAGGGGATGAGAGGGAGAACTTGCGGATGAATGCTTGGATAAGGGGAGGGAAGAAAAATGGATTTTTTGTAAGGCCGCGCCTGTTCATGCCTTATTACGAGGAAATAAAGGTATGTACAACATAACAAAAAATTATTTCAGTAATTAAAACGATAAGTAATGTAAACTCATTCAAGATGAGTTACAAATAATGCTTTATATCTCTCATGAACTTGTAGATTTAATTCTTATCAATTGTAAATTTGAATTGCATTAGTAAATAACATTGTTAGTTTAGAGGCTACATAAAATTGCTTTACTAAACAGTTTTTTTTTAAATAACTATGTATTCAAAATTATATGTAGGTACATTTCTACGCTTGGAGATTAAATATTTGAAAATAAATTTTGTTCGCAGTCTTTAGTCGAAGAACAAATGGTCCAAGAAGCAGATTTAGTAAGATTGCGAAGGCCACGGTACGTGGCCGATATTCCCGATGCCTTGTATATGGTTGACGAGAAACCAAGACCAATGGGTACAGCTGGGGTGGACGTTCTCGCTGCAGCGTTTCCAGGTATTTTAATTTTCCTCTTATCTGTTTGCGGCACAGTTTTATTACGTTTTCGTAAGATACGCGGATGATTTATAACTCCAACAGGAGACTGGTCTGGCATGTATTCTATTTAAGTTCCAGATTCCGCGACCTTGGCAGCTATGATGAAGCGAGAGCAGAAGCTGAGGCAGTCACCCAGTTGTCAGAGGGCTATCAGTTTGCCGCTTTCGTCGCGTCACGAAATCAACAGGCAGGTGCGACTGCGTGTCGTGAGGGAGTTCAACTTACCTGACACAGTTGCGGATCTGCTGGAGGTGAGTACTTTTTGTTATCTCCTTAAATGATTTTGGGGTCGCAAATATAAACAATTATATCGCTTAATAAAATACGCGAAGGAGTCTGTATTACGACGATAAGGAAAAATTGTCTCACTTAAATGTATGCTGAGTTAAACGTCAGTTTTGTTCAAATTTGTATTAATACGTTTCTTGTTTCTCTCCGTTCTTCTATCAGACTTTTTTAAAAATTCTAATGAACATAATGATAGAGTAACGTGACTCATACGAACATCGTTTAGTGTTTATTTATGATCGAGGAACTGGTACCTATCGTAATTATGTATTTTTCACAATATAGTTAACTTGATAAACTCGAACCGAGGATGACAAATAGTTTAAATTGACATGTATCAATGTCGTGTTACATAAAGTAGTCGTTGCTGATAGCTTCCACGTGGAAGGTAAGGAAATAAGATTCCGCGCGACGCATCTCTATTTCACGTGACCACGAAACTTCTAGAAAAAATAAATACGATTTCATTAAAAGAAAAACAAAATTGGTGATAATGAACTCTACATTTACGGAAATAAATTATCGTAACAGTCCCGATTATTTGTTTGTGTTATTTGAATATAAATTCATTTGTGTTACGTTTGTGTAATAAAATATTCTTTATTTTGTGGAACAGACGTACGTACAGAGAATATAATATAGTGCAAGTATTTTTACAAGAGCATGATAAAAAGCATGCTCTAAAAAAAGAGAATTACTTATTAAATAATTACATTTAAGAATTGAGTAAACTCTATATTTGGTACTTCTTTGAGATTAAATTCTCATTCCCGCGTATCTTACGAAAACGTAATAAAACTGTGCTGCAAACAGATAAGAGGGAAATTAAAATATCTGGGAACGCTGTAGCGAAAACGTCCACTCCAGCTATACCCATTAGTCTTGGTTTGTCGTCAACCATATACAAGGCATCGGGAATATTGGCCACGTATCGTGGCCTTCGCAATCTTACTAAATCTGCTTCTTGGACCATTTGTTCTTTGATACGTCAATCAATGTCTCGATAGTAACATCTTCTAAATTATGTTTTATCTATGTACATTTTTGTATAAACATAAGTTTTAACAATATCTACATTTCGTGCTTGCTACGAATTTTGTGTTCTTCGCCTATAAAAATATCATTCTCACTTTTGTAACAACTTATCTAACTACATAAAGAATAGCAGCATCGTCGTTATTTCAGTAGCCATCCCCTTTTCTCGAATACAGTTATAGTATGAAACAATTTGTTTCTGTATACTTCATTGCTGCTTATGTCCATGAAAACGTTGTTGTCCTGTAAGTCTTTCATTTCTGGCGTGATTCCTCGAGGAGCTTGAATCACCTGCGTCATCATGATGCATTGCGAGAACTTAAGTGGCCCACACTTGTTCACTATTTCGTCAAATTTCTGTTTAGAAAATTTTTCAGTATCGACTCTTAACGATTTCAACGCTTCAATGAAGTTGCTATAATAAAAGTCGATCATGTCATCCAGTTTATTGTCGATAATTTCCTTATTCGCACTGGATATGAGGAAAAATAGTAGATCTTTCGCACCGTAGTCGTAGTCGCCCAGTTGGAAGTCGACTATTTTCATATCAATTATATTTCCCTTGTTATCGTGTCGAAACATCATATTGTTCACCCAGAAGTCGTTGTGAACCAACGTCCCCCATGGCTCTTCTGGATTACTTGTCTCGATTAGTGACTCACAATTTATGGTTCTCGTAACACGATCTAAATACGGTTCAATACCCTGTAGTCCCTTTATATCCTGTATAGTTTTATAGATCATCTCGCCCGTACACTTTATCGTAGTCTCATTCGCAACCTTCATCATGACTTCCGCCGCTATCTTCTCATACATTTGAGGCTTCTTCATTTTCAAGGCGATGGTCAGAGCATGCAGCTTGGCTAGTTTCTGGATCGCGTACTCCGTATGCTTCTTATCCAATCCGTAAATTCGATCCTCCGTTTCGAAGCCATTGGATTTCAAGTTCTCGAGAATAATGGTCGCTTGCTCGTCGAACTCGTTCGACTTCAAGCCCAGTCTACCACTGTAGAACTTCGGCACTAATATAGTCAGGTCCTCCTCGTTTATACCGCTCTCCAGCTGGAGATTCACATACTCCCTCGCCATGGAACTATAGAATCGTAGCTCCTTTCGGAATGTCACTGAACTGTTGAACAAATCTAATAGATAGGCGTTAGTAGGTGGAAGTTTCGCAACGAGATTCAAAGTCTCGGTTTTGTTGGTGGCCGGCCAGGACAGGGTGACACTGATAGCTAACATCACGCTTCCGAAGTTTTCCCCGGGCGCGGTTAGAGGCCTCCATTCTATGTGCTTTATTTGAAAGTCGTTACCGAGACTTTGTGCTAAAAGGCTGTCCAACTTCTGAACTGGCAATGGCTCGATCGATGAGGACATTATTTACCTGAAAGAACAATCGCTGTTTATTTCCTCGCTGCAGCTACAGCCTGTTTGAAGCTCTCGAATTTTATGCCTTTTCTAATTGTATTCAGTATGATTAGACTGAAAATGAAACATATATGAATAGAAATATATTCATTATTCATTCGTGCTTATCAAGGTTTATTTTCATAATCATTTTTCTCTTGCTAGGTACATTACCGTACATACATATGTACATAGGATTTATTGTAATTTGAGACTCTGATAAACCGTAAATTACTTGATCGTATCACGCGAAAGAATGTACCAGTCAATCGTTGAACTATCATTTAAAACCATTGTACCAAACATTAATCATCTCTTTGTTGATTACTTGATATCTCGCAGTTCGAGAGTTGCATAATTTTAATTGTTGCGACGTAACACTCCTCTATAACGAATTATATTCATTCTTTAATATCGACTTACTTGCTCCTATGATTTTTACGTTGATTAGCAAAATTAAAGAAAGAACGTGAACACGTACTCGATTTTATACTTTAGTGCTTTGACTAAAACAAGTACCCTAAGCTCCTGATATATATAAGTGCTAAACACGAATATATGCAGTAAAGATATGGACTTCAAACTAGTGATAGTCTTTATCAGTAATTATTTTTCCTTTCCTGTGAGTATTTAACTGTGTGTCGATCGCTGTAATCGATGCGTCATGTTCCACGTCAAATTTTCATTTCAACGACTTATCCGAATTATTATTATTATTATTATTATTATGGAATTAAACTTACGTGTACACGTGACAAAGCTCCTCTACGCTTTTTGGTCATTTAAACAAATTAAATCTGCTTTAAACTCTATAGATTAGTAATGAATGAATATTACTTAAATGATAAAATAAATGTTTATCTATAATACATGTTTTAAACTGATAGTGTAAATGCTTTATTTTGCATAAAAGTTAACAGACCAGTAACGAATATAACAAGAGAAAAATTGAATCATTTCTCCGAATTGTAGATCACACATGGACTGTTTCTGTTCATTGTCTCTACGCACGTTAAATGTAAATCAGTTCCATACTTGCGATCGGATAGGATAAAGGTGTTCGCGTGTGTAGATGCGTGCAGGTAATTTTTAAAAAACTTGCATCATCGAATTACCATAATATGCACGTGTTTCATGGCGTGTTATATCTTGTACGTTCTACTGACACAAACGGAGTGAACAACAAAGGAAACAGGCGCATGCGACGAATGTCTTTACCGGTCTAGAATACCTGAAAACTTCGTCGCAATTTGTAATTTTGCTTAGTCACTTAAGAGTCTCAATTAACTGTACTTCTTTAGAAGTATAATAGAGAGATAATTTTTAAATACGAATGAACGAGAAACGAAATATTTTTGTACTTCTTTTTCAGTCAACAATTTTTATATCACAAGATTAGATATTTGTAGTTATTGAACTGTTTCTATTGTTAGTGAAAGGCTTTGTTACATGGATCACGTATTAAAACGGTACAGTTATCTGAAGTCGTAAATTCTTATGATTTATGAGATGAAACTGGTTATCGATTTAGTGACTGGGAAATAAGTTGTTAATGAAATTTCTTCACTAGGCGAAAGAAGTGCATGTACATACAAATTTTGTTAATATAATCGTGCAAGCTCTTAAGGAAAATTAATCGCTGCCAGTATAATGTTTCACGAATGCTGGAAATCGATCTGCTTTTAGTTATTACGAAGTTCAATATTTGCGTATAATTTGGAGTAAGTAAACGAGCCTGTTATCATGAATATGTTAAGCTGTTAATTAAACAGTTTGTCGAAGCAGAAGCAGAGTGTACTTAGAAGTAGTTCGGGGTTTACTGTCTACAATATTATTTATGCAACAGTACTAATAGTCCAATGTAATTGCTTCTGTGTATTCAACAACTGAAAAGCATGTTATATCCTTTTCACATTTGTTCTTGTCTTTCCTACTTTCGCTTTATTATTTATTTTATTTTATTTCTTTCTTTATGATCAAGTACCATTTTAAATATCTATTTATGTTCTATCTGTTCTTTGTTATAAAATTTCTTTCACGGTATTAGAAAGTTTAATGAAACTCCTATAAGTCCAGTAGAAAGTCTACGGCCAAACTCGTGCCTAAATCGATAGAAACTATTCTATGCAATTGTTTTTGTCGATAAGATGTGATAGAAATCTAGTTCCTCCGATTATAGTCGGATTCATAAAAGATTTACTATTTCCCATAGCATATCGCATAATCATATGTACAATTTTAATCTCTCGGGATTAACACTGTGTATCCACGCAAGTGTTTCACGTTTGATTTACCTCTGCCCCTATTTGACTCGCCGACTTCTTTGTTACCCGCGGCCTATACTCAACATTCTTGTACAATAATATTATGCATGATTTATCGGAGCTAACGACGTTAAGCTTTTACTGTTAAGTTTTTCTAAACACGAGACGTTCCGTGTAGCACACGGAGCAACCGCTAATTGGTTTTCAACACCCTCTCCAAAATACCGGAAGCAAGAACCGTGCATCGATCGCTATCGCGAAAAAAGAAGCTCGCCCTCGTTCGTGAGCGGGTTAACTTTAGAACGAGTATGTAACTCCTTATAATTAGACTGCGGATTTTATAGAAAGAATTGAACGTCTAGAAAATAGAATGATGAAAATATCAAAAGTGAATGCAATATGTATTTACTTTTGTCCAAATGCTGCATTTGTTTAATTGGCTACAATTAATGTTTTATATAAGAATCTGCAATCTATTTATAATAGTATAATGGTCTCCGTTCACGTGCCCGAGGAACATATCTCCGTTGTAGCGGGAAGCCGAGCGCATCGGCAATTTTCGTCGTCGAAAATTGCACGCGATAAACGTCGAGCTGTGCATTGTTTTCCGGAATGTAAAACGTCCGCGACAAACTATATTTCACGATACGGCAACCGACGTTTATCGCAAATCATTTCCGCGGTTCCTATTCCGCGAACAGTGTTCTTGCACGCGAGCAAGAGAGAAAATCGCTCCGGTGCATCCGAATGAATTAGCCGATAGCAAGCTTAATTCGTACCGTCGCGAGGCGGACATCTTCATTGTGCGCCGTTGAAAAATATCTCGTCCAGACCGTATTTGATTCCTCATTGCATAACGCGATGATGCGTCGACGGGCGAGGCGTGCAATCGTGCTCGCGTCCGATTACTTAAACGTTCGATTGTCAGTGAACCCATGACGCTCGTTTAAATTAACAATCATTTGGAACTTCCGCTTGATTTCTCATTTATAACACGACGGCAGTTTTTAGTCTTGGCAACAGCACTCAATATTCAAGTACTGCAGGCTTTATGGCAGACACTTTGCCACCGTCCTCAATAATCAGTGATATCAATATTTGCAAGTACTAATTGTTTATAGTATATTTATTCAGTGAGCTCTATCAAATACAAAATTAATAATTTATTCTGTAGCATGCATTCTGTAGCGTTATGTTTCACGATTTACATATCTGTTCCAATGATATTCTATTATCTGAATTCAGCTGTGGATTTCGATGTGGAAAAATAATGCTTAGTACTGATATCATTAATACAGAATATCTAATATGTTAATTGTTTGGTTTTAGTTAACTCTATAATGGCAATGGGTTATTATGTTAATTGTTAATTATGTTAATTGTTGTCAAAGTGATTACAAGGATACTTCAATGATTAGCCAAATTGAATAGTAATGATGAAAAGACAAAAATTAATGCAAGGCACGCAGATTATGCATATTGTCTATGCAATTATCGTTTAGCACAATACAGTGTATTTAAATAATGCAACAATCACGTTTAAGTAACATTGAAAGTGCACATGTCATAAGCATTACAAGAAAGCTTGATAGAACCTGTTAGATATAAACGTACCGAAAGTGGGAAACACTTATTGGTAAGAGGAAGTGGTCTCTGATTCGATCTTATCTTGTCAATGGTCAGGACAAACATGATAATGCAAAATGAGTGATGACTCACAATTAATCGATACTATCACGCTGTGCATCTCTCTTTTTTTGATATTCGTTTTTCGTCCTATCATGACTCTACGTAACATCGATCATGATTTCACGTGTCCTCTCTAGGAAAATTTTCTGTACGTACTATATCGATACAATTTTCAACCTTGACTTTTCTTCTATTATCGTTCTGTCGATAAAATTTCACAGTGACAGGTCGTCATTTACTAAGATCAAGTATCTACTTCCTATTGTTATAATTAAAATTCCCTCATAAATATGTATTTGTCAGCTGGCATTTGAGCTTGTCTTTCTGGTTACAATTACTCGATTAGCACGGGAACCCATTGTGTTGACCTGATCTGTAGAAATTATTAAAAGAATGTTTAATTGTAATTGACAAGGCGATTCTTAATTAATCGCTTCGTTCATTGCTAAATCGTAAATTTCGTTTACGTATATAAGTCAATTACCCAATACAAAACTTGTCTTTAATAAGCTTAACACATGACCTTTGGTAATCAAATTATGGTTGATAAATACTTCCTGATGTTCAGTAAAATCTAATGCACTTGATGAAAAATATCTAAACACATCGAGAAGAGAACAGCTGATAGTGGTACAAATGGTTGAGGGATTGGCGGCCTAGATTGTTCCCTGTTAGTTGTTCATTGTCAAATAATTGACGTACAGTAGGAGTTAAATGTTTCGTCACAATTATTATTACACTATGACACTTGGACACACAAATATAATCATTTATTTATTTAACAATCATTTTAGTAATGAAGAGAAGTATGACACAGTGTTATAATTAGAAAAGTATTGTAACCAAGTATTTTTAATTAGATGAAATTAGAGCTGTTATTCGAATTTTATTGAAGAGATGAGATTAAAGTAAAAAGATGTTCGTCTTGAATAATACCTTCAAACTCGAAGTACAATTAGGAGTTTATTTTCGTTTGCTATTGCTCGTTGACAAGCCGATGAACAAAACGCAGCCGCGTTGTTTGATGAAAAAACACTGTTAAACATTCCGTCGTTTGGACGGCACTAATTGTAAAGCAGCTAGTAGCGGGCTCTATTTATAGTATGCGCAGCGCATCAAGAAATCTAACGTAATGCGATAAACGTCGCATAGAGCGGCAATTCTAATGACACAATTCGCTTCTGTCTGTTCACTTTGCATAAAAACGAAATCATGTAAATAGGTTAAAAACATAATGAATCAACATTTAAGGAGGTAACTGCTTTCACGAATTTAACAGATAATCATAGGGTGTCCTATGAATAACGCACCATACAAACGATTTGCTTATGCAGATCGAATAAATACCAACCTTGGAATTTAAAAGAAGTAACATGCTTAATTGTTAATTAATTTTTAAACTGAACATGCAAGAATTATTTATTCAAATTCATAGAATTCGCTTAATTTCCTATGATTACTTTACTAATATGACGTTCGATTTAACATTAGTTCCATTCCAGATAGTTTCTTAAGTACGAGTTCGTTATCTGCGAGGAAATATTATATAATGGTTGTGTTAAAATCCAGAACGTCTAGTTTTAAGTATAGAGTGGCCGGTGGTATCTAAACTAGTTCTGACGAAATCCGGCGGTACAAAATGATTGAAAAGCGTATCGTTTCATTGCACTTGACTGCATAAGTATACAAAAAATGCCTCGTCGACTTCCTCTCTGTCGCAATTTTCCTAATTACAATTACATTTCACCGAGAGAAAGTGTCGGATACCGAAATTATAACACTTTTTACTATGCTTGTTTTCGTACAATTCGTACGTTTACATTTGTATAGAATTTTTACTGAAGTGATGCTGAATATACGATTATTATAACTGTTGATGATTTTCCAGTTTATCTTGATATTTGTGGTGCCTTAGAATCTCAGGAAATGTTTTTCTTTTTAAAGAACGGAGAACACTGTTATTTGCGTGTTCCTTATAATTAGTCTTTAAAGACGGCTTTCAGACTGCTGCCGAACGAGCGAGGAACATTATACTGTTTAATTAGTCTCTTTACTCGTCTCCTTTAACTCTTGCAGTCAGTTCTTTATCTTAGACAGCATTTTAATGAAGCAAAATTGTTATTCTGTGTTTACAATTGCATAAAGTAATAGTACACTTTGCTTTATAAAAAATTTCGCTTACGTAAAGTATTACAAAATAAGGATATTACGCGAGCACATAAATGAAAAATAAAGTAAACGAGATAAAAATTTATTATACTTTTAGATTTACAGATAGTACTGTTCCAATGAAACCAGAAATAATTTTTTTCTTGGTTCTCTAGAAAATCTTCGAACCTATTCACGTCTTGATATTTACAGTCTATTCACAGTTTCATTGAGTTCACTCGATCTGTGCCTGCCAAGTGCTCGTGTTAGTCTTCAGTTATTTTTCGTTGCACGTTTCAAGTTTGCTTAAAAAATAACAGGTTGCACCAGGGTATAAACGAGTATTATGTCGTTAACGTGATTTTTACTTGAGAAACATGACCAGAACACGCATGGGAACAATTTTGTCATCAAGAGATTATCGCGTAAGTGTCAACGCGCGAGATAAGTAAAGAATTAACTTGGAGCATATGCACGGGAAATAGTAAAGGCAGCACGTGCTTAATAATTAATTTGCGTCTGCATGTTAAGCAGCGGCGACAGACAGTGACGTTGGACACTGGTAACAATACTCGCGTTACTCGAACACTGCAAAATGACCACAGAAATCAATGTTCTCTTTTTTAGTTCCTGGCAAACGTCCTATGAAATTCTTGAATCCCGGCTTTTTGAATTGATAATAAACACATCAGAATTTATAAACATTACAACTTAGAAATAGAATTTCGTAGAAATATTGATCAAATGATTCGCACATTATGCAAAGAGTTTATAAGTTCGGTTTAAACATTTGGCAAATTGTATTTTTTAAATCTTGGGATACATCACATTGGGATACATTTAAAGAGCTTTTGTAAAATCTGATTTTAATGAAAGGAGTTAAAGGCTGCACGAGAATTTGAATCTAGGGAGACTAGATTAAATCACGTTTAATGGAACGGGGTTGTTAGAATCATGTCACCCGTTAAAATGAAATGATCTTCGAAATACCTGTTGCAGCGAAAGAGTTGCCCGATAATCGTAGAAGCGGTCGAATGCAGCCGACTGGCGCAGCAAAGTTCTGACAACTGAGTCGAGTCAGCCGAGCTTCGTTACCGTTTGACTTTGACCCCTATATTCTCCCTCTTTTCGACGCTCATGGATGGTATCCCCATCTTTGAGCTCCGCTACTGATTAAATCCAGATGATACGAATGTGGAGTACAGAGGAAGCCGTGAATTAGGTATCAGGTACGCGAACATTACGCGCGAAGAGAGTTACCTAGAGAATCATCGCAGGGCGCCGCGGCGCCTCGCACCCACGTGCCTCCTTCGGCCAGGTCGACGTTTGACGTCAGCCTTTACTTCACGAGAACGCTTAAGTCATCGGATTTCGGGGCCGTTCTCCCGCTTAAATACCACGGATCCCCGTGGTTAATGAATGTCACTAGGTGTGTTAGCTTTCTGCCGTTCAACGTTCTAGTTAGGAAGTTTGTTAAAGCGACTCGCCGCCACTGCCACGGTTTACAAATTAAGCACGCTTTTGGCCAGGGACAACTTTAAACCCGGTTCCTTGTTAGGGACGCCATTTCGGTGACTTCGTTCCTACGAAATCCTGACGAAAGGATTAAACTGTCTACGACGGTAGTTTCGAGACGTAGGAGTACGAAGTACGACCGAGCCTCCGAGTAATGAGTAATCCTCGTAAACTTTTTTATGTCAGCTAGCATAATTAAATGCTTGATTTGATTGAATTCTAATTTCTCTGAAATCATATCGGCGATTAAATATCATTTAACGTTGGGATCACAGATATACATATATGTATTTTTTATGTTCATGTTTTTTTATC